TTCTTAACATCTTTCTGGCCTTTACACTGCTAATTAACATACTAAGCTGGTGACCCTAGCCAAAATTAAACTTATCTCCATCATCTAGATTAAATCTTGCTTTCTTTTTCCAACAATCAATTTCTACTCCAAATCTCCCTAGGAAATTCATGCCTAAAATAACATCAAAATCAGGCATATCAAACACTATCAAATCAACTGACAACTCCCTTCCGTGGATCACTACGGACTCCCTTAGAAGCATCTCTTGAGTTACTAGACTAACACCATTTGGTAACTCTATCTTAATAGGACAATCCACTCTAATAGGTTTTAACCCTAATCTCTCTAAAATCCCATGTGTAGTAAATGAATGTGTAGCTCTAGAATCAATTAATGCATAAAGGGGAACTGAATGAAATAATAACTTACCAGTAATTGTGGATGGGTTAGCTTCAGCTTTACTCTAGGCTACTGTAAACACTCGAGCATTGGTACCTCTAGGTGTCTACACTGCGGGTGCAGGAGGGGCTTTACAATCTTTCATCATATGCCCTAGCTGCCAGTATCTATAGCATACATTTCGGCCCAAATCTCTAAGGCACTCCCCAAAATGATTTCTTCCACACTTCTGGCACCAGGGAACTTCACTGGTTCTCTGCTTTTTATTCTGCCAATCCCTCATGTTCTTCTTGGGTTGAAACTTTTTCTTATTTCTCACCTCTCTATTAGTGGGGGCATCAACTCTATCTCTCTGTGGAGCGGGAGGTGGAACACTGGGGCCTACTACTGATGGAGTTGCTGGGGTTAGCTTATTCACAAATATTTCTACCCGTAAAGCTCATTCCAAAGCTTCACTACTATTTCTGGTTTCAGCCCATGCATGAACTTATCTCTCTTCAACTTTGGTGTACTCACTACTCCTGCGTGCAAACCTTGCCAGGGAATTGAATTTCACTTAATATTCTTTCTCTGAATTAGCTGCCTGTTGCAAACTAATAAACTCCTAAATCTTTTCACTGAGTTGATCAACTATTCTATATTCTGCCTCAAACAATCTTCTGAAATCTCCACAGTTCATCAAGGCTATATCATGAGTATCCTCCATCAATTCCCACTATATACGGGCATCACCCCTAAATAAGAAACTGGCATACTGAATCTTCTCCCAGTTTGCCATAGGGAAAAGTGCTGTCGTACGCTCCACTGATCTAAACCACTCATCTGCCACTATTAGGTCCACAGTATCCCTAAATTCTGATGGCTGGTGTTGACTAGGCAACCCATAAATCGGCTCAATATGATTTTGCACTACTGGGGGTACTGGCCTCTCTCTCTCCTCTCTAGGGGTCGGTACAATAACCAAGGTCTCAACTCTCTCCGGTACGGAGCCTCCCTGATTTTCTGCCAAGACTTGCTGTATAATATTATGAATATTCGCTTCATCGAGGATAGGGGGAGTAGATTCTGGAGGGCTGGAAGGTTCACCCGTGCTCATTTCCTTCCTACTGCTTCCTCGGGTTCTACGTCTCATCTACATAAACCAACACTTTTAGTCAACTCAATTAACTCATCTACTACAAGTAAGGAAAGAAATAACTTATAGCGGTCGGCTACGGGACATCAACGTGGCAGGAGGGGCATACTGTCAAACCCAAAATCTTTGCTCTGATACCAAAAATGTAATACTTTCTTTGTAGCTAGTATACTCGTAAAATAATCATGAAAACATATATATGAAAGTACACATATAAACAAGTAATAAAGTATGGGCCCATATTTAATTTTTCTTTATATACAAATATTTACAAAATATACTCAAAATAGCAACTTCACAGTGTAGCCCAACCCTTCCAATGCGTGACGTTCCGAGCGACCGCAACTCACCTATTACCTGCAAAAACATTGAAAACAATGGATTGAGCACTAATTGCTCAGTAAGTAAACCCGCTATGCTACCCTTCTCCCTCCGTTGCTTAACTTCCGAATTTTCTTTCCTTACATCACATTTCCCGATTATTCTCTATTCTTTCTTTGTTCTTTCTCATTCTTTCTCTATTTTGCTCTCTGTTTTTCTCTATGTTTTCTAATTTTTTACTACTCATGATAATGAGCATGGTATTATGCATATTCATGATGCAAATGCACAAATGCATAAAGTATGCATTTTCTTTTCTATTTTTCTTATTCTGTTTTCTGTTTCTTTATCTTTATTTCTTTCTTTCTTTCCATTCTTTCTTTTTATTCTTTCTATTCTTTCTTTCTTTCTTTTCTTTTCTTGCCGATCGGACTTGGTTGAGGCATGGATTTGGAGTCTTAGCCATGTGAGTGAATTCTATAATTCTGGGTACAGTCCTCATCCACATGCACTTCTAACGGACTGTACAATTCTTCTTTCTGAATTCTGAGGCTGCTCACTAAAGACGGCGTGCATGTGGAACTATGTCACTCACGGCTTCCCATCACAACAACCTTCTCTTCTTTTTATCTTTTTACACTTCTTTAACTAAAAATTCAGATTTGAATATCTTTAATATTCTCATTTCTTTCCATTTTCTCTTTAACATATTTTAGTGCTTTTTCATGCTCTTATGAATATGTATGCATGTAGATGGTTTAATGCTTATAATTCTTTCTAAATTCACACGTTTAATGCAATTATGCATTATGGAATGCAAACATATCATTCTCTACCATCTACAAACTCATCCCAAAGTAATACATAATCATACTCATACATGCACTTCTCTCTGGCATTTCATCAAACAACTCATGTGTGCAAATCAACACTAATTTGGCTACACTTCTATCTCTATTTTAGGCCACCAAATATTTGGAATAAACTCCTCCATAATTAACGCCAAATCTGCCCAAAATACACACTTCAAAATTTTCACTTCAACTCTTTCAAATCTCAACCAAACATTCATCAAGTATCACATACACCAACCCAACTTCTCATGGATAGGTTCTAATTATTATTCAACACCAAATCCATCAACAATTATACATATAACACATATATATGCATAAAGAAAATTCTCTACACAACATAACTTAAATCATACTTAGGGTAGGATTTACTTACCTTTGATATGAGCAAATTCAACCCTTTAAGAATCTTCTTTGCTCAAACTCTGTTCCTCTTAAATCCTATGAGCATAAACCTTCAAAATTCAACACTTTAAAAATGAAAAAGCACTTCTTAGTGCAAGGATCTGACCTAAAGTTGCTTGTTCAATCCACTCAAAAATATGCAAAACCTATGAATTTCTTTTGAAGAAGAATTGAAGAATTTGAGAGAATATGGAGGTGAAAGTGGCATGAAAATGGATAAGAGTGGCTAGGGTTTCACTCTTCAATTTGATATAACATAAAAATATAACATAAATATATATATATATATATATAGATATATATATATATATATATATAATAGATATAATGTAGTTTCCCCATGTTTGCCCTTGCAACTTTCTTTAAAATTCCATCTATGTCCCTTAGCCAATTACCATAATGCCCTCATTTTTATTGCATTCTCCATGAAATTCTATCTCTTTTCACTCCTCACTTTTTCAACTAATTTTGAATGAAAAGACCATTTTACCCTTAATGCAAGTTTAAGGCATTTTCTTCACATTTTCCTTAAAATAACCTTAGCAAAAATCAACTAAGGTATAAGAGCATGAATTAAATTACGTGCCTCCATGTGGGCTTTACAAAGTAGTCGTAAGAGATTGATGAATTTATGTTTCTTAATTTTAGAGTAACCGAATAGGGATCTGTATTAAGTTGAATATTATGCCTGAATAAGGATAATTGGCTTTAGAAGAATCCTACCAATTCATAGCATAAACAGGTATTAAGAGTAGTTGTCAAGCATAATTAGGGGGAAATATTTACCATAACTTCATTAATACTGCAAAGTTCTTCACATTGGTTATTTTTTTAATTTACTTATTTTTAATCCATACTTCTACACTAAAATTTTGTTTTCTCAAATAACGTGTAGGCAGTTTTAGGTAATTATGAATATTTTCTTTGATCTCTGTCTCTATGGGACGATTCTCAAACTCATCACTTTATTACTTGAACATAACTAGTGCACTTGCTAGGGTTGATTTAGTCGCATCAAGTTTTAGGCGCCGTTGCTGAGAGGTCATTAGATTGTTTGTGATTATTTTAAGATTGCCTGTTACTTTGAGATTTTTTTTATTTTGTTTGTTTTTATTGGAAACCAATAGGTGTTTCTGCTAGTGTATGACTAGAGCCTCTGGAAAGATTTTACTAGCATTTGATCCTAAGATAAAGCGCACTTTTCATGCAAGAAAGAGAGCAATCAAAAGGGAGATCATGGGTGATCACGATAACCCAAATATTGGAACACCACCAACAACTCGTACACTAAATGAGTTCTCTACCCCATCTCTAAATGGAGCGACATCGAGCATTCGATGACCAGTGATCAATGCCAACACCTTTGAGATAAAGCCAGCAATCATCCAGATGATTTAGTAGTCAGTGCAGTTTGGTGGTTTGACACATGAAGATCCCAACTTACATATTACAAACTTCCTTGAGATTTGTGATACTTTGAAGCACAATGGAGTTTCCGATGAAGCTATAAGACTAAGATTTTTTCCATTTTCATTATGAGACAAAGTTAAGAGTTGGTTGACCTCATTATCAGCAGGCTCAATTACAACCTGGGAGCAGATGACAAAAAAATTCATGAGTAGGTATTTTCCTCCTGCAAAGACTACACAGTTACGTAATGATATTACTATGTTTGTGCAGGTGGATACAGGATCATTATACGAAGCATGGGAAAGGTTCAAGGACATGCTCCGGAGATGTTCCCGCCATGAATTACCGGTTTGGCTATAAGTCCAAACATTCTATAATGTTCTTAATAGTGAAGTTTGGAATATGATCAATGCTGCTACAGGTGGTACTTTAGGTAAGAAGACACCAGAATAAGCTTATGAATTACTAGAGGAAATGGCTTCAAACTCTTATCAATGGCTGATAGAGAGGTTGCCTGTGAGAAGAATGTCGGGTGTTCATAACATAGATGCTATCACGGCTTTAGCAGCACAAATGCAGGTGTTAAATAAGAAGATTGATGGACTTCAAATGTAAACACTTGCAATAGTTGCTTCTATGTGTGGCAAAGATCTCCCTAACCATGAGTGTCAATCAGGTAACATGTTTGCTATTAATTCTATGCCTGATCAAGCTAACTATGTTTCAAATTTTTGCAAGCCTAATAATAATTCATACATTGAAACATATAATCCAGGATGGAGGAATCACCCAAATTTCTCTTAAAGTAACAACAATCAAGTGAAACCTCCACCGCCAGGTTTTCAATCTCAAAGGAAGAAATCAAATTTAGAGGAGATGATGGCAAAGTTCTTGAGTACTATAGAGACAAGCATTCAGAATCAAGAGGCTTCCATCAAGAATTTAGAAGTTTAAACTAGCCAGTAGGCCAATATCATTTCAGGTAGACAACAAGGACATTTACCAAGTGACACAGAAAAGAACCCAAAGGAGCAATGTAAGGCCATAACCTTGAGGGATGGAAAGGTGATTGGTGAAGAAGCATCACAAAAGAAGGTGGAAAGTGAAGCTGAGTTATCAGTCTCTATTGAAGAAAAGAAAGTGAATTCAGAAAAAGAGATAGAGACTAAGGTAACAGAAATTGCAAGAGGTAAAGGAAAAGGTATATCAAATTATGATTTTGTTGCTGTTGAAAAAGATGCATCTAAATTTCCTTATCCCGATAGAATTAGAAACGATAAACTAGATCAACAATTTTTAAAGTTTTTAGAGGTCTTTAAGAAATTGCAAATAAATATTCCATTTGCTGAAGCCTTAGCAGAGATGCCTTGCTATGCAAAGTTCTTAAAAGACATCCTTTCTAACAAGCGGAAGATCGAGGAGTATGGGACAGTTATGCTCACTGAAAAATGTAGTGCCATTCTACAAAATAAATTACCTCTTAAACTGAGAGATCCAGGGAGTTTTACTATACCTTGTGCATTAGAAGATTCATTCTTTGATAAAGCATTCTGTGATTTAGGTGCTAATGTTAATTTAATGCCTTTATCAATTTTCAAGAAGCTAGGACTTGGCGAAGTGAAAGAGGCAAACATGTCATTCCAGCTTGCTGATAGATCAATCAAACAACCTAAAGGCATTGTTGAAGACATTTTGTTAAAGGTTGACAAATATCTTACCGGTGGACTTCGTAGTTCTTGATATGGAGGAGGACCGGGAGGTGCCTCTAATTTTGGGACGTCCATTTTTGGTGATAGCTCGTGCTCTGATAGATGTGCAACAAGGAAAATTAATCTTGAGACTAAATGATGAAGAAATAGTGTTTGATGTCCATAAAGTGATGAAAAATCCTACTGCATTTTATATTGAATCTTGTTTTCTCTTTGACAGTTTTGGTGAGATTATAGGTGATCACAGAGAATAAGTTTTACATAAGGATTCTTTGGAGAGATGTCTAATGGAGTCAAGCACAACAAAAGATGAAGACTCGTGCTTGACAGAAGAAGTTGAAGCGTTAGAGAATGAATCTCTGACTTATAATAATATGGAGCTAAAGGAGGATTTGCATAACACTCCGAATGAGCCTTCTAAACTTGAACTTAAACCTCTTCCTTCACATTTAAAATATGCTTTTCTAGATAAAGATACTTACCCTGTGATTATTTCTGCATCTTTGACAGATCTAGAGGAGAAGTCACTACTGGACATTTTGAGGAAGCACAAGAAGGCTATGAGATGGACAATTGCTGATATCAAGGGAATAAGCCCTTTCATCTGCATGCATAAGATCCTCATGGAAGAGAATTTTAAGCCAACAATACAACCACAATGAAGATTAAATCCTGTCATGCAAGAAGTGGTACAAAAGGAAGTGGTAAAATTACTCGATGCAGGTATTATTTATCCAATCTCTGATAGTAATTGGGTTAGTCCTGTGCAAATAGTGCCTAAGAAAGGGGGAATGACTGTATTGAAGAATGAAAATAATGAGTTTATCCCCACTAGGATGGTAACTGGATGGCGTGTGTGTATAGACTATAGAAGATTAAATTTTGCCACTAGAAAAGACCATTTCCCATTGCCATTTATTGATCAGATGTTAGAGAGATTAGTAGGTAATAAATTTTACTGTTTTCTTGATGGCTATTCTGGTTATTATCAAATTCCTATTGCTCAAGAGAACCAAGAGAAAACAACATTTACTTGTCCTTATGGCATGCTCGCTTATCGACGAATGCCATTTGGTTTATGCAATATGCCGACTACTTTCCAACGTTGCATGATGGCAATTTTCTCTGACATGATTGAAAAATTTCTAGAAATTTTCATGGATGATTTTACATTGTATGGACTAACCTTTGAATCTTTTTTGCAAAATCTTTCGTTAGTTTTACAGCGTTGTGAGGAATCAAATCTTGTGCTGAATTGGGAGAAGTGCCATTTTATGGTACGAGAAGGTATTGTGCTTGGACAAGATCTCTGAGCCAGGGATTGAGGTTGATAAAGCAAAAGTGGAAGTGATTGAAAAATTACCTCCCCCAACAACAGTTCGAGCAATCAGAAGTTTCCTTGGCCATGCAGGATTTTATAGAAGTTTATTAAAGATTTTCAAAAATTGCAAAACCTCTATCTAATCTTGTTGCCAAGGATGTAAAATTTAACTTTGATTCTGCATGTTTGTAGGCCTTTAAATTGCTGAAGGAGAAGCTAGTGACAGCACCAATAGTGGTTGCACCAGATTAGAACAACCCCTTTAAATATATGTGTGACGCGAGTGACTATGCCATCGGTGCTGCTCTCGGTCAAAGGAAAGACAAAATATTTAGGTCATATCTTATGCCAGTCATACCTTAAATGGTCCGCAACTAAACTACACAACAACCGAGAAACAATTACTAGCAGTGGTCTTCGCATTCGAGAAGTTTAGATCCTACCTCATAAGCACGAAATCCATAGTCTACACAGATCACGCAGCTCTATGACATCTCTTTGCTAAGAAGGACGCCAAACCACGCCTTATCAAATGGGTCCTTCTACTTCAAGAGTTTGATTTAGAGATTAAAGATCGAAAGGGGACCAAAAATCAAATTGCTGATCAGTTATCCCGACTAGATAATTCAATCCTTGAAGAGGGAGATATTAGTGCAGAATTTCCTGATGAGCGAATTCTATCTCTTAACTCTTCTTTTTCTAAATCTCCATGGTTTGCTGATTTGGCTAATTTTCTTGTAGGAGGCCGGATCCCAAAGCATTTTACATTCCAACGAAGGAAGAAAATTTTTGTTGATGTCAAATATTATTTGTGGGAAGACCCTTACTTGTACAAACTATGTGCAGATCAAGTTGTTCAAAAATGTGTGTCGGAAGAAGAGATTAGAGCTATTTTGATTCATTGCCATGATAGAGAAACTGGAGGGCATTTTGGGTGAATTGCACAACGGCAAAGGTGTTGCAATCAGGTTTTTATTGGCCCACTGTGTTTCGGGATGCTCAAAGGTATGTATCCTCTTGTGATCACTGCCAAAGAATAGGTAATATTTATAAGAAAGATAAGATGCCTTTGAATAATATATTGGTATGTGAAATTTTTTATATTTGGGGTATTGATATCATGGTACCATTTCCATCATCGTATGGAAACGCTTTTATATTTGTGGTAATAGATTACATTTCTAAATGGGTGGAGGCAATTGCACCAAAACTAATGATTCTAGAACAGTACTCAAATTCCTTAGGCGGAATATTTTCACTAGATATAGAAGCATTTTTGTAATCACTAATTTAATGCACTCTTAAAGAAATATGGAGTCACACATAAGGTAGCCATTCCTTACCATGCCCAAACTAATGGTCAAGTAGAGGTCTCAAATAGAGAGCTAAAATGAATTTTAGAAAAGACCGTTATTGCCTTTAGAAAAGATTGGGTGACAAAGTTAGACGATGCTTTATTGGCATATAGGACAACCTTTAAAACATCTATAGGTATGTCACCTTATAGGTTAGTGTTTGGAAAAGCATGTCACCTGTTGGTAGAATTAAAGCATAAAGCTTATTGGCCTACTAAATTTTTTAATTTTGATGTGCAAAGTACAGGTGCTAAACATCTTTTGCAAGTGAGTGAGCCAGATGAATTTCGTCATTGGGCATACGAGAGTGCTAGTTTGTACAAAGAGAAGACAAAGAGATGGCATGATAGGAACATTGTGAAAAAAGAGTTCGAGCCGGGACAACAAGTTCTTCTTTACAATAGTCGTCTTCTTCTTTTCCCAGGAAAGGTGAAATCAAGATGGATAGGTCCATTTGAGGTAATTCAGGTAACAACTTTTGGAGCAATTGAGATCCACCATGGAAAGACAAGTGAAACGTTTAAAGTTAATGGACACTATTTAAAGCACTATTTTGGAGGACGGTTAGATCCAAACACCGCGTCTGTCTAGTTTCATGAATGAAGAAAGCGGAGAAAATCAAGCTAACGACTCTAAATTAGAACTATAAATTTTGTTTTCACTTTTCTCTCTTCTACAATTATTTTATTGTTGTTTGATTTTGTTTTGTTTTGTTATCATCGGAACTATGAACAAATTTGGGGGAAGCTTAAGTGATAGAAGAAGAAGACAATTTTGAGCATAATAAAACACATGCTACCTCATGTCATTTTACACAGTCGTGGCCATGTGAAAAAAAAAAAAATCTCTTCTTTTTCAGGGAAGTTTCTGTATTTTATTTTCCATATTTTCTGTTTTGTTTTTGTTTTTCATGCATTGAGAACATTGCATTCTTTAAGTTTGGGGGAGTGGGCAGTTTGGTTTGTGCTGTATTGTTGATGGTCTATTTCTTTTGTTTGGTGTGTTTGTTTTTAGGAAGTGTTTAGTTTATATGTGTGTTTTTTTGGTTTGTATTTTGTATTTGTTGCATGGTGGTTATTATGCTTTGCTTTTGATACAATCCCGAATGAAACTTTGTGATAACCCCAAAGGAAAAAAAAAATTGCTTTTTATGATGAACTTTGTAATCATTTGGAGTAGTGGTAGTATCTGTTAGGAAACGATCAAGTTTTGGCAACGGAAACACAAACATAAACATCATGGATCGTTCCTTAGAATCAAGATCAGGGTACAAATTTACAGTTTATATATTAAATTATAATTTGTAGAAAATCAATTTAAAGTTGAGAAACGATACCCACGTTTAGAGGCTTCTCCAACTTTATCACCGAATGGGTTTTCCTACCGATCCAAGGGTAGGATGGAACCAACCATAGTCCACACGAAGATAACCCCAAGTAACTAAAGAGAGATTTGGTAGATCCTCTTTAGCCTTAAGAACCAAGAAGGAATCAAATAATATTTGATTCAAGCAAAAAGGCAAACTGGCATGGGAAGAAGAGAAAGGGGGTTAGAATATTTTAATCTTAATGATTGAATGAATTGATTATTTAATTCAAAAAGTGTTGCACTTATATAGTGCACACTTTGCCCTATTCTATCATGGAATAGACTTGGGCATCAACCTAAACACCCCTTGTATCCAAACAACCCCATTTAGATATTTTAATTTTAATTATCATTATCTCAATATATATATATATATATAATATTAACATATAATTCAGCGAAGTAGCTACCTGTCAACGATATGGTTACCGTACAATCCAATCCTTTCATTATCTGTTATCTCAACGAGACTGTGGCATAGAAATAATGTCAACCTCAGTTACTCTCGATATATTTGTATTCAGTTACTAAACCAATGACTGGAATAATGAATTGGATTGAGCAACAACTCAATTTCACTGTGATCACATATTTACTGTCATTGTCATTGTCATTAACTGAATTGCGCCATGAGATAACTTCTCCCGTACCCGGGAGTGATGAATCCTCTGTCGATCCACCGTAGTCTTGATACACTCCTCAATGCAGCCAATCACTACCATATTGATACCTACCATAGTCTCGGGCTAGTGTCAAACTACACCAATCGATGCACAAGGCGCTCCGATGATCTCAAGTCTAAGGATCACATGCACCACTATTCGTTAGAGGATTTGTTCTATAGACACTAGGGTTACCATCCATATGGAATCCTCTAGTGGGTCAGTCCATTGAACTTGGTTACAGCAAGCACCCATGTGTTGCACCAGGTTGTCACCAAACAACCTTGACAAGTGAGATCAGTCACTGCCTTTCGACAGGGTCATT